CGCGGCCGGTGCGGCGGGACGGGTGCCTCCGCTCGCCCGGCATCGGCCCTCCGGAGAGGGGCAGGCGGGTGCGAAAGGCGCATTGTTCCCTAATTAAACAATTAACCGGGAAGAGAATGGAGAGACCTCCTCCACCCTGGCTCCCGAAGCCCGTTGAAACGGGGAAAGTGGCTGGGACCGAAATCCCTTTTTTCCTTTTGCCTCCCCAATCTCAGCGGAGGTTGCAATGAAAGAATATATTGGTGCTTGTTCCAAACTTCCCCCGCCTGTGCCAATTCACAGGCAGTCTTGCATCGGCAGCCTCCCAAGCCAAGCTTCTCCACCCTAGTTTTACGCATCTCCAGCCACTTTTCTTTCTTTTCCCCCTTTTTTTTTTTAAGATTAGGCTCTGCATTTGCTGTCCAAACCTCCCAGAGATGAAGTCATAAGCAGAACTCTAAACCACCCTTTTACAAGGGACTTTCACCAATTAGTAAAGGGTCTGCCGTGCTCCTCGGGCAGCTCCTTTCCCAGAAAGTACCTATCTTGGTATGTGGCAGATGCTTAAGGCACCCTTCACCAGGCATAAAATGCTGGCAAGAGCAGTGCCTCTGGCGTGCTCTCTCTCAGAGGAGCGTGTGCCACAATGCCCCCTCCTCCAGGAAGGTGTAAATCTGGAGCCAGAAAAGAAAAGCCTGGAGAAATAGGTGTGTCTGATCGCACCCCTCTGGGCACGTTTTTGGCAGCCCCAGGTACAACCGTTAGGAAGAGGCAGGAGGAGTTTGCCTTCAGTGCCTCTCACTGTTATTGTTCCAGCTACTCTGTCCCCAGAGTTATGCTGACAGCGGGTTTGAGACAAGCCCAAAACCCTCATTTTCAAAGACAGCCCTCAGTGCCAAGTTGGAGGAGCGGGAGGTGGAAGAGATGACAGCCAAGCAGGGGGAAATGGAGACCTGGCGGCTTAAACCAGATCAGGTTTGTGTGAGCTGTGGCCTGGGTGTGAATGGAGCTGGACCGCTGGGTGAAATCCTTATCTCAGCTTCACAGAGCTTGTTGGTCTTTCCTCCTTAAATAGGGTAAATCCACAATTGCTTACTTGCTAGCAAGGGCGTTGAAGAGAGGCTGATCCCCTTCTCCCATGTGAACGTAGAGAGTGTGCAGCAGCCTCCCTACCACTGCCACCCCCCTGGCACCAGTCCCTCCAGCTCCTCCTGCATGAGTCGGTCCCTACATGGCACGCGTGGCTCCTGGGCAATGCCCCGTCCCAACAGACTGGACCTGCTACATGTTGGGTTGAGGGTTTCTCAATCCTTAAACCTTGCGCAGTGGAACAGTTGACAGAAATGCAACTCTGTGCTTCCAAACAGGCACTATAAAGAGTTGCAGGCATATTTTTGAGGCTTTTTGATGCAAATTCACACAAAGGCATTGCAGTTCATATTAAGTCACGGGAAGGGAGTTGTCAGAGTCAACTCCGCTCTTTGCTCACCTGGCCTTCCCTGCCACGCCATGTGCAGACGGCAACCCTCACTGCCGAGGCTGTGCACACTTCCTCTGCATGATCTTGTGATGAAAGGAGAAAACTAACAGTGAATTTCTCCAACATTGGTTCAGACAAGCCTCTTCAGTCCTCCCAGTCATAAGGGGGTTGTGTGAGATGCACGTTTAGGGCACTGTTCCCTCTCCCAGTACAATCTCAGTCCCCTCTCGGGCTGCAGGCAAAACCCTTTGAGGACACATGTGTAAGGTGGGAATTGCTCTGGACAAATCCCCTCCTCTGCACCAGTCCCAGTGGCCCATTCCCTTTTTTTGGATGGAGTGGTGGGACTCCTGCCACGATCCCAGGCCTCAGGAAAGGAGGGCAGGACATACCCTGTGGCATGGGGTATCTCCCCATCTCCAGACCACCCTCCAGGACAAACGGGGAACTCATAAATGATCAGGCATCACGGTCAAACCGAAGGTAGCTCAGATGTCCTCTCTAGCCTCCACCACCCGCCCCATCTTTCCAGCTTCATCTGTTCTTACTCCGCTCCCTGCCTTGGCTTCAGGCAGGAGGGGTGATCTTTAACAAAGCAGAAGCCACCTCTGCAGCCCTGGTCTTGCTTCTCCATCACCTCTTGACTCTCAGCCCCTGGAGATTGAACAACTGCTCCTGTCAAAGGAAGGGAAGAGGAGTTGGTGACTCTGCTGTCCCTACTGTGTGGAGATCCCTGCCCTCCTGCAGAGCTAGGCTATGAACACCTTCTCGCAGCTGCGGCTGCCCCGGGGAGCAAGTGGGACAACCCCAAGAGGGGAAGTTGCAGCTGCCCATGCCCACTGGGGCACCCGCTGTGCTGGGGGTCCAGCTGAAGAGCTGGCCAAGCCTCCTGGGGACGTGGAGACACTGGGTATGACCAGAAATTTGAGGGGGGGGCGCTGCTCTCTTTGCCTACAGGGACCACCAAGAAGCAACAAGGAGTTAAACTCCGGGGCTAACCCAGCCTCAGGTCTGCTTGCTTGCATCCCTTTTTTCTCGACGGGAATGAAAAGAGATTATTTTTAAAGAAAAGACCTTCCCCCCCGCTCCCCTTTCTTCTCCCACCCC